GAGATTTCTAGGAACAACAATTGCAAGAATCCCTAATGCAGAATGAATTTCCTTTATTAAAGGAAGGGAAGATAGAGTCTAATGTAGAGGGCTGAGTGCTGAAAAATTGATGCTTTTGAACTGTGGTGTTGGAGAAGACTCTTGAGAGTCCCTTAGACTGCAAGGAGATCCAACCAGTCCATCCTAAAGGAGATCAGCTCTGGGTGTTCATTGGAAGGGCTGATGCTGAAGCTGAAACTCCAGTACTTTGGCCACCTCATGCAAAGAGTTGACTCATTGGAAAAGACCCTGATGCTGGGAGGGATTGGGGGCAGGAGGAGAAGGGGACAACAGAAAATGAGATGGCTGGATGGCATCAGTGACTCGATGGGCATGAGTTCGAGTAAACTCCGGGAGTTGGTGATGGACAGGGAGGCCTGGTATGCTGCAATTCTTGGGGTTCAAAGAGTTGGACACGACAGAGAGATTGAACTGAACTGCATGTAGAGGGAGAGCAGTGAGAGGTGAATTCTGGGGATGGTCAATAGTCAGATCATTACATAAGGCATGTTAAACACAAAGCACAGACCCAGGAAGGTGCCTCATATTACCATACAATAGATGCAAGGGACATCACTGAGTTTGAAGATGTAGGACACTTAATTTATGACTGAGTTGAATGTGAAGGATCAGCCTTCATGAATGGACATGCATCCAACTGAAATAGAAAGTAGGCTTATAAAACCATGTTTCCAGTGTCATTTAAGATTTCACAGACTGAGTAATTCAGATTGAAATGTCTCCTATGGAATGCAGCAGAGTGACCTAGTTGTCAAGAAATCTCTATGTGTATGAATTGGAATGCTGATAAATAGATGAACTCAGATGACCAAGAGAAGATAGCATATCAACTCACAGAAGATGCAGAGCTAGGATATCTGAAAAAGTGCTCTAAACAGATATCAACAAAAATGTGAGGAACTATAAAGTAAAACAACAACAAACAAAAACAAATGAACAAATTATTAAATCTCTGGAACCCCAAAGAAGCTGAATATGCTGTTTAGTCTGTAGTCTGCTTGCTGGAGCCTGGTACAGCAAACCAAAGATTTGAATCAGTGTGTATAGAGGTGCCTCAGCAACAGTGTTTTAAATTTCTATGAATGAAAGAAAAAAGTAGGATTCCATGAAAGACATAATTTACTACTTTGATTATTAATGTTTGGAAATATACCTATGAACAGGGAATTTTCAAGGTAGTCTTTTCCATGGAGGACAAAGAAACCATTTTGAACACATTTATTTATGGTGGTTAAGTAGGGATGACAATTATTAATGAAAATGCAGTCACACTTGATATAGACAGTATGGAACTCTAAGGAACCTTCGAATCAGTCAACCCAGTCATCTAGGCTACTGCTTTGACATTTCTGCACAGTGTTTGATCATTGGTACAAAGGTGGTATGATATGTCATCATCAAATGTAATTTACTAAGCTCATTATGGATATCAAAGTTATTAGAAATCACGCAATACTATAGAGAGTATAAACATGCTGTTATAAACATGTTTTTTGTTTATGAAGATGCAAAAATTTTATCACTATCAATGCATACTTGATCGGTTGTTCAGTTATGTCCGACTCTTTACAACCACATGGATTATAGCCTGCCAGGCTCCTCTGTCCATGGGATTATCCCAGCAAGAATACTGGAGTGGGTTGTCATTTCCTCCTCCAGAAGGATCTTCCTCACCCAAGGATCAACCCCCTGTCTCCTGTGTCTAGTATATTATATAGAAAATTATTATAATTCCCAGAAAATTTTATCAAGTTTTTAAAACTTTATATGACTATTTGAGGATAGATAAGGCAACAAAGACATATTTGCCAAGAGCTTAAAAATTATTAAAAAGTTTTAAGCTGTTCAGAAGAACTGGCTCAGTAGGAAAGACCCTGATGCTGGGAAAGATTGATGGTAGGAGGAGAAGGGGATGACAGAGGATGAGATGGTTGGATGGCATCCTTGACTCGATGGACATGAGTTTGAGTAAGCTCTGGGAATTGGTAATGGACAGGGAAGCATGGAGTGCTGCAGTCCATGGGGTTGCAAAGAGTTGGATATGACTGAGCGACTGAACTGAACTGAACTGAACTGAAGTTGTTCATGAGGTCAGTTAGCTCTTTTATATATCTGTTTCAGCACAACCATTCTGTTTTACTTGTAACCATTGAAGAAACTTCTTGATGACTGGAGAAGAACATAAAAATGGTGAAGGAGGGGTTGCAAAGGCAGTGAATGTGGATGTGTAGTGTGGGTATGGGGAGATGTGATCCATTTTCCAAACTTCATTATATCTTTTTATTCAAAGATATAATTAGAAATACAAAATTAGCCACTAAACTTACCTCAAGCACAAGTGATCACTGTGGCTAAGGGATAAGGTATGATTTTTATTGTATAAATATTATCATTCTCTTTCTAGCAAGGCTATTTTGCCTGCTTAGCTTTATAATTTCTGCTTAGCTATTCTGCCTGCTTAGTTTTATAATTTTACCTGCTTAGCTTTATAATTTCTTTATAAAATTCTTGTATAAAACAAACAAACAAATTACCTGTCAACAACCTAGTGCTTAATTCTCACCCACTTCAGTTCTTCTTCTTCTAATTAGATATCTTAAATTATATCTTTGCAGCTGACTAATTGCCAGCCTGTGCCTTCTTCCCTAGATGGTATAATTTAAGAGGACCAGTTCTCCTGATGTTGAGGTATTGATCAGCCTTGATGCCTCCCATCAGATACACTTGCCCTTTTCAACCTAGAGAGGTAAGCACAGTTCTCGTATATCTCTGAGTTTCAAAGGCAAGCCAGGAATGGAAAGTCATTTTTCTGCAGTATGGCAGTATGAAGACTTACATAGAAATACATACTCTTAACTTCTTTTAAAAGTGCTTATTTAACTATAAAATAACTCAGTTTTAGAAAATGATCTTTTCCTATTCATATAATTTTAGGCTCTTTTAGCAGCATGCATATAAAGTAGAAATAAAATAGAAGTAAAGTATGAAGGGTAAAGATACCACCTGAGAAATGAATTATGGTTAAAATAACTGTTGAAGGAGAGCGAAGGTGATTTGAAGCCCACACAGTTCTAAATCTCTGCTTCCTGCTGAAGGAGGATTCTTCTAGGAGTACCATATGATATAATGGGGGAGAAGGGAGGCTTTTCACAGACCACTGAGCGCTTATTTTCTGGTAACCAGTTCATGCCCTATCCTATTCCTGTAATCATTTTTGACAAATGAGAACAAATTTTCTTCACCTTTTGGTCATCAGAGAAATCTGATACCCCTAATATTGACTTTTCAATGTAATTGCAATTTTATCTGATGGAATTTCAAACCAATGGGAATAATAGTCCTGGGTGTCAATTCAAATATATGCCATTAAAAGACTTAGTGATGCGAATACACATATACACCTACAAATACTGTTTTGGAATGGAATGAAGTGATTCTGATGGTTTTAGATTCTTCTTTAGAAAGATCATCAATTATTTAAGTTTGGAATGCAGCCTCCAGGGGAGAATGTAATCTATAAGTGGCTGAGATTTTAAATTATATCTAATTTTCTGTCAAATGTGCACTTCACTTAGCATGAATGCTTATTGATAATTATTATAATTTCTAGGTTACAATGTCTGATCTTTTTGATCACTTTTTCTTTTAATATTTATACCGTCAAATATAATTAGTGATTGCTCATCAATTTAAAAAGTTACTTGCTTGCCTTTAAACATGGATTTTCAAATGCCTTTGGCTGCTTTGAATGTCTTTGTGTGTGTGTTTGTGAAGTTTTTCCTAAATAGCCACAATACAAGATTAGAGCAGTTAAGACTGGCTTAAATATACAAACTGTTCAATTCAAACCTATGTAAATTATTTTTGGTTCAATTATGTTTATTCCATCTGTTTTTATCATCTGTTGTTACAATAATTTATCATTTCTACATGGTATTAAAATGTAAATGAATCAAGAGAGGAAACACATCTGTGGACAGCTAGTTAATAAAACTACATTTGGTAAGTGAGCTAAGTCATAATAATTAATTAAATGTCACTGCCCATATATGCTTGTAATTGTATATTTAGTGTGTATTTGCATAATCACATAATGGGATCTATATGATTCATGCTTTGTTGAGTGTAAACTGGATGCACAAATTACCAGTTCCAAACTAGAGTTGCTTATAAACATATTACAAAGGCATTTGGCTTTTTTCAGGAAATGATGTACAGGAAGTAAATAAGAAAAAAAAATCTTAAAAATGTAAGTTATATATTCTTAGAGCAAAGTAGAAGACTGAAAATTCAATTCAAGTCACAGACAAGTCCTGACTTTTTTTTTTTTGAAATCCTGCTTTTAAAGGTGTCTGGTATTTTATTGTATTTAGTGACTGTTTTTCAGGGAAAGGTTTGCTCTTTTGAAAACGTGGTGTGGGTATGTTAGATTAGGTGTTATTCTGAGCCAGAATATGTTTAAGGCCCCACGTATAATAACTTTTCATTTAGTAATATTCCAATTATCCAGATCACACAAATAATTGATTTAATTTTCAAAATAGAGCCTCAGTTCAGTTCAGATGCTCAGTCATGTCTGACTCTTTGCTACCCCATGGACTGCAGCACACCATGCTTCCCTGTCCATCACCAACTCCCAGAGCTTGCTCAAACTCACATCCATTGAGTCAGTGATGCCATCCAACCATTCATCCTATGTCAGTCCCTTCTCCTCCTGCCTTCAATCTTTCCCAGCATCAGGGTCTCTTCCAATGAGTCAGTTTTCACATCAGGCAGCCAAAGTATTGGAGCTTCAGCTTCAGCATCAGTCTTTCCAATGAATAGTCAAGACTGATTTCCTTGAGGATTGACTGGTTTGATCTTGCAGTCCAAGGGACTCTCAAGAGTCTTCTTCAACACCACAGTTCAAAAGCATCAATTATTTGGCTGTCAGATTTCTTTATGGTTCAACTCTCACATCCATACATGACTGCTGGAAAAACCATAGCTTTGACTAGATAGAGCCTAGATAGTTCTTTTAGGGCCATATCCTGGGACAAAATTGTGCATACTGGCCTTAAGCTCTTAAATGTATACAATTTACAGCATTTGCTGAAGATGACAAGGGAGCCATTTCAGGAGTGACATACTGTGCACAGCAGACTCTAGACAAAATCTATTTTGAGCATGACCACCTCCACCTCCTCAAAACCCAGTCCTCCCCAGTTGCTCTGTGTTGAGCTGATCAAAATAATTCACAGCAAGTTCTGAGTGACAAAGGCTTAACTACTCAGGTTTATCTGCATATTGAAAATGAAGCTTGTAATCCAAATAGATTTCAAAGATGCTAATCTGCTTTAACCATTCCCATGCCTGCTACCATTTCCTGCCCCCATTAATGGATCAAGTACAAGCTTAAACTTCTCAATTCATTTATTATAGCATTGCTCATCAGGTCCTTCATCTTCTGATATTCCTGGTTTACCTCTTCTGCCTTCCTCATCTCTCACAATTATCTGTCTAAGTCTTAGTTCAATGACCAAGAAAACTCAGTTGAGCAAAGGATGACGATTATTTATTTAAAAAATTGAGAAAATGGTTCAGACACTAGACTGTTTCAGTCTTACAACTATGTTCTTCCTTCTGCTAAAGCCAGATTCAGGAGGTCAATTGGGTGGCTGTTCCAGGTACCAGTGATTTGAAGATGCTAAAATGTGATTAGAAGAAATGAGAAATATGGAATCAGTTAACTCATGTATTTAAGTGCAATGCCTCTAATAACCAGACAAAAATTTTAAACTGTTCCTTTTTCTGCCAGAGGAGATAGTACCCTTGATTGAAAATAAAAACACAGCACATCACAGGTACTCCACACTGGTTTAACTGCTTTATCCACTGAACATTTTTCTAATGGGCAGAGCAGATTCAAGTTGAAGAGATGGGGCAGGCCACCAATCCTGCGAACAACCAGATACACAGGTGAAATTCCAAAGGAATTCAAACATTACTTAATCATTAAGATTGAGCATATTTGTTTCAGTATTTAAATTTTAAAATCTTTTTGAAAGGCAGGAGGAGAAGGGGACGACAGAGGATGAGATGGTTGGATGGCATCACCAACTCAATGGACATGAGTTTGGGTAGACTCCAGGAGTTGGTAATGGACAGGGAGGCCTGGCATGCTGTAGTCCATGGGGTCTTGAAGAGTCAGACATGGCTGAGCAACTGAACTGAACTGAACTTTTTGAAAAATATATGCTCCCTCCCTGCAAAAAAAAAAAAAAAANTCTTTCCCCAAAATTTAAGAAAAACCTGCATGTAGAACAAAATCTATAGAAAAGATGGAAATGCTTTGTTGCTCTGGAAATAAAAGACAAAAATAAAAACATTTTAAACCTATTTTTAACAGGCTTAATTGGGAAAAAAATCTTGTAATTCATGACATTTTCAAATAAGTTAAAATGCTATATCACATAATAATTACTTACTTTGAACATAAAGAAGAGATGTGATTTTGATTAAAACAACATTTCTGTCTCTGCTGAACATTGAATTCTTGCTAGGGTGACATGAAAAGTAAGGGCAAAGGGAACATGGAATTGGTGGTAGAAAAAGGATGTGTTAAAATATTAATAGTTGCTCATGATCAGTTACTAGAAGAAAGGCCAGAAAAGATATGTATGTTTTTATATATACAGGTACTCACATATGTAACAAATAAGAGTTCTGTGAATATTGAAAAGGAAGAAAAGAAGCCTCTAATATTGGTAACTGGTCTGCTGCTCATAGCCAGGCCCTGTTTTCTCCTGTTGTTATAAGCAGTTTCACAGAACATCAATATCAGACAAGGTCATCTGAAACCAGAATTAAATGAGACATAAGCAAAGCCACTGAGCCAGCCACAAGCAAACATTCTTATTATAGAAAGTAAGAGTGACTGCTGCTTCCTTTTCATTTATAGATTTATCCTCATTCTAGTTTAACATGTTATAGATAAGTTTTATTGAGTTGCCAGATTATAGACTTGCCCCTGCTTTCTGACAGTACTCCATCTAGGGGGAACCCCCACTTCCTCAGAGCCTCCACTAATCAACCAACTAAAATCCAAATCCTATCCTACAACAGGTGTTTTTTTTTTTTTAAACACATCACCATGACACTTTTTAGTTCCCATACTATGTGTTCTGCATGAATGCATCAGGTAATAAAACCCAACTTGTTCAATGGATGGTCTTTGGCTAAAAGACATTGACAGTATTAACCACTCATTCTTTTTTCTGCCTTTTCCTTGTCCTACCATTTCATAAAAGAAGCATTTAAAGAACAAATAGTTTTTAGGTTAGAGAATACCTTGGTAGAATTTTCGCTGAGTTAGATGAGAAACTCACAATGATGGGACATTCTCTACCTTTTTGAAGGAGAAGGTGAGAGTATATTAGTTTGTAACATGAAGGATATAGGCAAATGCAAGTAGTTCCTGTTGTATGAAGCTTTAATAGGCATAGAAGGTGAAGACAGATGCTGAGGAACAGACAAGATAAACTGTGTAAACATCTGGTGGCTCATTCACAAATAGAGTCCCCTTTTCTTCCACTACACTGTTTGGTTTCAGGGAGCCTGATCACTATAACCTGTACTACCCAGGCTTCCTTTCCCACTGGCTTCTGATTGGGCTTGGCTGAAGGGGGAGAGTTGCCAGGACATTGGCCTGGAGGCATTAAGAAGAAGCTGATGGTGCTTCTATTGATATTCAAGAGAGTAGCTACATCTCTGTGGTTCTAGATCCAGTTATATACACGACTATATATAAAATAAATAGCTAATAAGACCTACTGTATAGCATAGGGAACTCTACTCAATATCTTGTAATTACCTACAATGGAAGAGTGTGTCATAAAAGAAAAGATATATAACTGAATCACTTTGCTGTATATTCAAAACTAGCACAGCATTGAAAATCAACTATATTTCAATAAGAATTCAGAAAAATGGTGTTAATGTCTATGGACATTCACATCCTAAGAAGGCCACCAACGATACTGCTAATAAAAAGGAAGGCACTCCCTCCTAGTTGCTTCTGTCTAGTTCCAGCTCACACATGCAAGCCTTCTCAATTTGCTTCTGATAATACCATCTAATCTGTCTGCTCATTTGCCTTTAAATGGTAGCAATTTCCTGCTGTTGTTATTTTCTGGTTGCCTCAATTTTCCTTGTTTTCATCTCTTCCAACATCTCTGTACATTGTTACCTGTACTAGATTTCCTCTACTGGGATACCTGGATTAAATTATGTTTTCCTTATCTTACACAAATTGATAGACTCCATAAGCCTAATTTGCAATTCATTTTAAACACCATCATAGAAAATAGATTATGAGTTTTGGCACAGGTTATCTGATAAAGTTACATTTTCTAAAATGAGACAGCTTAATTCTAAGAAGCTCAATGTGATTTCAGATAACCAAATCCTATGCAAACACAAACCACAAAAACTAAATGCAAATTCATCTTTTTCCCCACATTCTTCATTTTTCTTGGTTATATGCTGTTCCAGTTATATTTGTAAATATTTGAACCTATTAAGTAAAAACATTCTTAATAGTCACTTCCTGATTGAGTTTGTAGAATAGACATAACAGGACAGGGGTAGGGAGTTAAGATGAAACACGCATCTTAATGATTCTTCTGTCCCTGGAAACTGGTAGAAAGACATGATCTCTTCTTTTTCATGCAAATCAGCCTGGATTTAGCTAGAGTTAAACACAGATCTAACTGCAGAAGATTATCTTCATTTTTTTATTCTCTCAGTGGATACTTGTCTGAATCTGCTTTCTCAAGGCTAAACAATACTCCAGGGCACTTTGGAGATCAGAATTGAGTAAGTCTCAATATGTATATAAGAGACGTCTGGGGTAGGTCATCATCTTTGCAAATTGCCTAATACCTCAGCAAGGTGAAATAAAACCAATGTGTAAAATAATAAAATTAACAGAACACTTGGTATCTCTAAACTCTGGATATAGCTTATCATCAGAGTTGCGATGATTCATCTTTTTTGTTGGCATATTTGCTTGGCTGCTACAATTATAGTTGTATCTGGAAGTATTTTTTTTAATTAATGGTTAAATTGTGAGGAAATAATTCATTTCAGAATAAGGGGGTCAGTGATTGGTGGATGTTCTGTTTAGCTTTAGTAAAATCAAAAGGCAAAGTTCTGCTTCCTCTGTGTTAATTAACATGCTGTAGGGAGCTTGATGTTTCTCACTGGCTCAGGGGAGAGTCCTCACCCATCTTTGGGGCTCAGGGGAATTTTGTTTCTCTTTTGGTTTTTCACCATATATCCAGTAAATGGGCCCCTTGTGTCCTGAAAGAATTAATGCACCTACTTAATTGCCCAAATTACCTCCAGAGAGTGACTTAGAAATGTAGAAAATTGGGCTCAATGTCTTTGAAGAGCTTTGAGCAAGTTGGATGAAAGCAATCTCCAAGAAGCAAGGAGAAGTATATGCTACTTATTGAAGTATTGAACACGCTTATTAGATGAGCCTATTAGCCACAGGAGATATTTTAAAATTTCAGCAAGTAAACATTCAAACCAGATTAGCTTTGTGCATCCCTCTTTCTACACATACTTGAGTGCACAAGTCATTTTATAGACTTACTCTTATGTTGATTCAGGAAAGGTCCCTTCTATCCCTTTTCTGTTGTTAAATAGGCAGAAAAATGGGTAGAATTGTAGAGCTCAGTAATGTCAAGGAATCAGTATGAAGGAATGGAGATTTCCTTTGTGTATACTGTACATGCACAAGCCCAAGGCTTTGAGATATCAAACCACAAGTCATTTTAGAATTTAGATAAAATTTAAAATATAACCTGGGAATCTATTTTGATTCATACCATTTTCCTATGCCTGAGTCATTTCTATTTTTCTCTGCAAATCTAAATATCATTTACTTCTGAATACCCAGTTCAGCTCTCCTCTTCCGCTATTGGGAGTTCTCCAACAGTTTAATCTATAAAGATCTCCTTCTTTTTAAATCTTTGTTCCTATTGCCTGTATCTCTCTGGGGCAAAGTATTAGGTATTCAGTCAAACTCAATTGATGTTAGTGAAATGAATCAGGCAGAAACTTAATCTTTTATTACTTTACATTGCGTTGGAGAATCACATAACTTGCATGCTATTTGCATTTTCTCTGTTTTAGATTTATTTCCCTTTCCAGACTATAAACGCATTGAAGACAAAGATCAGTTTTATATCTTTTGGGTATCATTCACAAGGCCTCCTGCAGTATTCAGATTATATATAAATCTATTTATTGGTTATGGATGACCCCGTGATGACTTCTTTTTGTGTGTGTGTGTAACAGAGTTTTATTAAAGTGAAAAAGGAAAAATAAAATAAAATAAAAAAATAAAAATAAAAAAAAAGCAAAAAAAAAAAAAAAAAGAAAAAGGGACACAGAAAACTTCTGACATGGACATAAGAAGGGGGACAATAGTGCGCCCACTTGCTAGTCTTATCAAGGCCTTATATACTTTTACCAGACCCATGTCCACAACATACATCTTAAATTAACAAGATTAGAACTAACAACAGAAAGGTCTTACCAGACCCATTCCCATAACATACATTTTAAGATGACAGGGTTAGTCAAAATGTTCCCAAGAAGAAACATGTCCTCGAGCAAGACAAATTGTTACGTTGC